AGGGGTTTTAGGGTTTAGTGTTTTGGAGCTTCAGGGTGTGGGGCGTTGATTTCCACGACTTCAGGGTACTGGAGTTTAGGTAGGGCATTTAGGTAGGGCCTTTGGTTTCCGGGTTGTTGGGGTTTGGGCTGGGCCTTGATGTGTTGTGGTCGTTACAGCCTACGAACGACTTGCTTCAAAAAACTTCATGTACGCACCTACATGTCTGGTTTGGGCTTTCCAACCGGGAAGCTTGGATTCATGCAAGCTGGCGATTGCAGCTGGTCTTCAGTGGGCTAAAAAACCATTGTCAAAAATCTAGACCCCACTCCCGAGGCGTGAGCCAGACCCTAAAGCCTAAACCTTCCCTTCGCGGGGAGCCTCTTGAATCTNNTTTTCTCGCGGCTACACAAAAGCTTCAGAAGTGTGAACGACTATCTGAGAAGTCTGCCATGCTGCCCTTTGGAACCTGCTATCTACACAGTGATCATAGCCTTTTGGCTGTGACTTAGGTTCGGGCTGCACGTCTGCGAAGCAAAGCTTTCATATGCGGAACATTCTCTCGGCACTCCCCCTAAACACCGAGAGGGGTTTATACTCGGGAGAATGCCAAAATCTGTACACCTTCCCTACCGCTAAGAAAACCTCTTAACCGGCCAGGGGACAAAGGAAGCAACTTACAGGCTTCCAGCAAGGACAAACATGAACCCAAATCCAAACGAGGGTTATGAAGAGACAGCGAGAGATTAGAGCCTCCAGCCCAGTCCTCGCCTAGAGGAAAACCAAACAACGGGATTATGTCACCACCCAGGGGCAACCCAGGTAGGGCACGATGGAGCCAAATCAAGCTCCAAGTTACAACACGAAACCTCGGGATACACGGCCTTGACCATCCCAAGGTCCCAAAACCAACCTAGGGTCCCCAGGATCCTAGGCTGCAGGCGGTGGGAATGTGTGGAGCGGCGATGCCGCCGAGGTTCTCAGTGGGGACAGTACCCCGCCTGAGGCAAGGGTTGGCTTGTGGATGCCTCCCAATGGGGCGTGCACGGTCTACTCCCTTGCATCTAACCTCCTATCCACCCCGACTCCCACGCCGGTTGCGTACCCCAGGCAGACAATGTTTGCACGGCACATATCGGGTTCCCCCGTTATGTCGCAACGGGCATCCTGCTGCATGGTATCGCGACGTCCAAAACCAAAGTGCAGGCTGACTGCCTACCCACTCAATCGTGGGCTCCGTGATGCAACGGGCACATGGTTCATACGACGACACATTGGTGCAGTGTGCCAGTTGGGAACATCCCAACCGGTGGTAGCACCCTCCAGCACTCGTAACGCACAGCGGTAGGCTAGCTGTCGCTTCGGGTAGATCTGGTACCGATCGCTGGGGTCGTGAAGGTCCCAGCCACGCCCTCGCGGAGGAAGATCCCGATCCCCTCGGTTCCGCGGTGAATGCAGCCGCAGCGTCGTCGACATACTGCACAAACTGGGTCGCTTCGGCGTAGTCCTCGTACGACCAGAGGCTCGTTCCCGGACGCGGCATCATCCTCTCTCGCTCAGTCCGAACGGGTTCGGTTTGGCTCCCCCGGGCTTGGCTTCCGTTTTCGGTCTGTGTGCCTCGCGAAACTTGGCTCCGGTTCGTGGAGTTCACGGCCAGCCGCCGTACCGCTACCTTAACTCCTTCCCAAACCGAAACCACAGCAACAAGCATCAACACCCAAAACCACCATACCTCATTTGCCTCATCTTCGACATTGGGCTGTCCAGCCGCTCCTTGAGCACATGTGGCAACAATCAGCACAGCCTATGCTCGTCTCAGCGACTCTGCGTTGCGGATTACGGCTGCCCGATCCCTTGGAAGCGTCGCGAGCTCGCACAATCGTAGGAGTAGGTGGAACCTCTCGCGAGGAAGGGCCTTGGTCAGGGCATCGGCACACAGGGATGCTCCAGGCAGATGGGTCACTACCCAACCCCTAACAACCTGCTCCTGCAACCATGCCCCTTTTATCCGTAGGTGGCGCGTACGCCACGTTCCTCCCGGAAGAGACACTACGGCTACCGAGGCTGTGTTGTCTGTGTACAACACCACTCGTGCCCTCGAGATAGGGTCATCTTGCTCCTGCAGCAAAGCATTCGGCGGCACCATTGCACGACCCCCTAGAAACTCATTGATCAGAGGGCAAATGGACATAACCGCCTGGCCCGAATCACTCAGGGCTCCAAGTTCCGACTCGCATGTTGACATCGTCATGTAGGCCTGCTTCTTGCTGCACCAGTTGATCGTGGCTCCGGCCCACACAGTCAGGAAAGCCCCATGTGAGCGCGAGCTTTCGGGAGCAAACGAGGCATCGCTGTATCCCTCCACAAGGTCCTCAGACCTTTCGACCTTGAGGACCCCCTCGGGGCCCTTAATTGTCGTTGGGGGCGGACCCATACTTCAAACAAAGCTCTGGGTAGGCCTTGAGGTATCGCAAAACCTTGTGGCCTCGCTCGATGGCTGCTGCTGGGTGCTTGGTCATCCAAGCAGAGATGACTGAAACGGAGTAGGCGAGGTCGCATCTGCTGTGGGTAGACAACCAAAGCAGCTCTCCCCCGAGCTGCTCGGCCCTCGAAGCCCTCCTTATCCTCCTCGTCTGGGGTCTGTGGCTGCCCCTCACCCGGGACCTGCAGGGGCTCTCCAACCTCATACCTCTGCAAAAGTTCCTGAATGTACCTGGTCTGGTGCACATACAATGTTCCATCAGAACCTGAGGAAACCTCAAACCCGTTGAAGGTAACTGATCCGGCCTCGGAAAGTAACACCGGCTCAGTGCACTTCCAGACCTGACACAGCTTGTCCAGCGTCTGCTGAACATGCGAGGTAGTGCCTACTGCCAACATGTCATCTACATACAGCGCAAGATACACCGCAACACTGTGGTCCTCCTCACGATATACGGTCCAGATGTTGGGATCGCTGGTCATGGGCCGAACTCTCACAGGGGCTCCGTCGACATTAAAACGCAACTCAGTCAAGGTTCCGTCCCTATGCACTGACCAGCTGCGGGGACTAATGGTCAGCCCATACAAGGCCTGATGCACAGACCAGTACTTCTCCTCGCAGATGCGGTGGCGACGGAACATTGCCGGAGTCATGACTACTATCTGAACCCCGTTCGACAGCAGCGGCGCTGTAAGGAATGCTTGCTTGACGTCAATGATTCCTAGATCCAGTTTCCGAAGACCTGCGAACCGCAACAGTGTACGCAGGGTGACGGCGTCAATCCCTCCTGAGTAGGTGTCGGCCCGCGACCACCGGTCGCTTCGTGCAAAGTTCCCGCAACATACGCATCGCACCTTTCGCCTTCCTTTTGGCGCCTTAATGCTGCAAATGACCTTCGCAGGAATCACCTCGCAGGGGGTTCCGTCGTGGCGCCACTGCTCCAGCGTGGCTTCATCCAGAGGCTTCACTGCCTTCTGCAAGCCTTCATACTCCTCCCTCATCGGACCGATCCACTCGCTGGGATCACGCTCCACAACTGCGTTCGGGACCACATGGGTCTGCAATACCTCATCGTAAGACTGCTGGAGGTCCTGAGTGGCCTGCTCCACTTGCTGAGCGGCGCTGCGAAGGGACTCCACTCGCTCTCCACCATTGGCAGAGTCACACACAACCGCTTGCACATGTAGATTGCTCTCCCTTTTTATCAAAGCTTGAAGTCGAAGCTGGCTCCGGTCAAGTTCTTCCCTTGCTGCCTCATCAAAGGCAAGAGGAACGGCAGCGGCAACCAACTCACACATCTCAACTTGGTCGCCTGGTGGCGACGCTTGTGCCTGGTGTAGACGGCTACCTTCAGCTGGCATCTCAAAGAAGTCAGCTTCCTCCTTGACCGGTCCTCCTTCGAGGTCCTCCCAATCTGCAACCACAACGCCATCGTCCGACCATTCTTCTCCGTCGTCGGAGTTGCCTTCAATCTCCTTAGGGGTATCGGGACTAACCCCTATCGCTATAGGTTCCTCAGGGAAGAGGGATCGGCCCGGGGTGGCGCGGAGCATAGACACACGCTCCCTCTGTAACTGATGCTCAGCCTCAGCCTGTTCGACTTCCCGAGCAAACTCACTGTCTCCCCGCCGGGACATCCTCGGTGGATCGACGGTGCCTCCGGCCGTTACGGCACGAGTCACAATGACTCTCTGAATGAAGGAGAGACCGGACACTTGCTCTCGTAGGGCTAAGAACCGTTCCGGAGTGACTCCTTGTTCATACAACCTGGGGAAATGACTGGGATCTAGCGCACCTCCAATGGTCTCTGGGCGATAGCCAAACCTTCGCCTGATACCTTGGTGCACCTCCCCTTCCACAAAGCCTCGGCCTTCGGCGTACGGGACCTGAGTGGAGGCCCAATGGACGGCCTCGGCCAGCTCATCTGACATCGGAAGTGCCTGAGGAAATTCGTTGAGCATCTCATGCTGCTCGTTAACGGTCCCACGGCCTGCATGATCTAGGACAATTAGTCCCATCCCCAGCCAGACTGTACCTGGACTTGCGCTCCCCCCTCTCCGACTCGGGTCCCTCCATTTCCAGGATTCATAGTAGCGGAGCGCTTCTTCATGCGTTGTCGCCAAAGCATCTTGTAGAACCTCCCTACACCTGGACCACACTAGGTTCCCCTCACTTGCCTCCAATCTGCTGGACAACCACACGCGGGATTGAAACTCCTCACTCGGTGGTGGGACCTCTGCGCCTGGACCTGAGGCCAACTCCTGCACGCTCTGGTCAAACGCTCTACCTACTGCAGGGACCAAACCACCTGATGCCTTTGCTGAATGCGCAGCGGGACACGTGATGCCTTTGAGCTGAATGTGCAGCGGGGACACCTGATGCCTTTGCTGAATGCACACTGGGGACACCTGATGCCTTTGCTGAATGCACAGTGGGGACACCTGATGCCTTTGCTGAATGCGCACTGGGGACACCTGATGCCTTTGCTGAATGCACAGTGGGGACACCTGATGCCTTTGCTGAATGCACACTGGGGGCACCTGATGCCTTTGCTGAATGCACACTGGGGGCACCTGATGCCTTTGCTGAATGCGCACTGTCTACCCTAATCGAAGCGAACCGTGGCGGGGGACCTGCATGGGTGAGTTTCCGGATTGGGCACTGGAACTCTTCCCACAGCCTCTGCGGACAGAAACCGGTCTTCCAATGTCATCATCGACTCGATAAAATACCACTTGGATTCTTCGTTCCCAAACGAGGCTCGGAACAGATACCCATGAAGGTTGGGTGCATCCTCATATCCAATCCTCACCATGCTATGCACCTCTCCCAACCGATCAAGCTCAAACTGAGTATTGTTTTCGGTCAGATGATATGGCTGAAACCCAAACAACCATGGCACAGGATTCTCGTAGCCCTCCCAGATAACCTCAAGCTCCGGGGAATCCTGCCAGGACCTATTCCTAGCTAGGTACATTGAAAGGGCAAATGCAGAGAGGGGACTGTCCCTCACATGGTTGAGGTCGCCGTAATTGTGTCCCACTCTGATCTCTCTCCACTCGGAGCGTGGTCTCCGCACTCCCCGTCTTCGAGCCTGCTCGGCTTGTTCATCATTCAGCACAGTAAACCGCTGTCTCCACACAGGGGTCTGCATAGCCACATCCGCTCGGTTGTTCGCGTCAAGCTTGGCGACACGATGGCAGGGTTCAGTTAGGCCCTCTGCGCACGGGCCTTGCACATCGTGACCGGCCTTCTCCCCCTTGTCGGAGTAGGGGATTACATCCAGCTCCTCAATCTGCACTGTAGGCTCTCGCTCCACGCACTCCCGACTATCCCCGTTCCCAACTGATAGGTCACGTGGCAAGGCAAACCCGGCTTGCCTCAGCTTCCCAATGGTGCTCGGCTCAGCACGTTGGATGGCTGTGAGGCTATATGCAACCAAAATCACCCGAGAGCCCTTTTCCCAGGGTTGCGACGCATGGAACTTGCGTGGGTCTAGCTCAAAAGGCTTCAGCACTTGCAGGGGCCACGTCGTTCCCGCAATCACCTTTCCATTGTGTAGGCACCTTAAGTCACTCCCATCTTCAGCTTGACACCAAACACCTCCCCCGGCCTCAGGAACACACAAGGGCACGAGAACATTGTTGTAACCTGGCAAATTGTTCTTGTCTCGGTGAATCGCCGAGTCAACGTTCACAAGAAGTGCCAGGGTGGTCCACCTGGACTCGGGCGCACACTCTCTCAGGAGGCGGGTCAACAATGCTAAAAACCCTGGAAACAGCCTACACTCTGCAGTGATGCCCAACACTCCCCCGCGGCGGAAGAAACCCAAGGTATGGGTATGGCCCTTCTTGAACACGTCGCCTCGGCTCTTGGGACGGGCGGTTTGCAGCCACTGGCTGCCAAGGACGTGGTCCCGAAGCTTCTGCGGTGAAGCTGTCGGGTCCTGTGCCAACCTCAAAGCCTCCAAATCCTCTCTTCTGAGCATCGACGAAACTTCCCGGGCAACCCGAACGGTGCGTTTGGTTGGGATGCGATGGGAAAGGGTCGGGACTGGACGTTCATCAATCGGGAGGTCCCGGTGCAAAGGCTGCATGTCACCTTCCTGACTGGGCATTTGCGCATCTGGCTCGAGCACTTCCGTAAGCAGAGTGGTGGTAAGCATCAACCTACCATCACTTAACAGCACCACGTGTCCTTTAGTCACCTCAACCGACGGCGCTAAGACTGTGCCTACCAACCCCCTGGCAGCCCATCGCTGTCCCTTTCGATTCCACCTCCGGTTTCTCACATACACCTTGGTGCCAAAAGGGAGCACATTGGTGGGTGGCCCTCCAAGGGTAGCGCTGAGCCTAGACCTCATACGGGAGGCAACATGCTGCAGGGCAAACGGCCAGTACTGATGCTCCACTGAGGCGGCGGTCATCAGGAC